TGTGTGTGTGTGTGTGTGTGTGAGAGAGAGAGAAAGTGTGTGTTGCAGGCGGGGGGCCCAGCAGAGCAAACACAGTCCCCAAGGGGCCTCTCTCTTCTCCTTCCTCTAACGGGCTTAAATCCTCTTTTAATGAATATAAGGTCAAGCTAAATGGGAAATCCATCATGGCAATAAAAGCAGCCGGGCTGGTGTTCAGCAGTGAATGTGCTGACTTTTGACACAACAGGGCAGCTCCTCTAATTTTCTATTTAGCCATGCTAGCAGCGATATGGTCGTATGAAAGGACTGAAATATCTCAGCAACTGTTTGTTGGACTGCTATTAAATTTAGTAAAATAGATTCATTCTCCCCAGAGGAAGAAACCCTCGGACATAAGAGACTAATGACAATCCCATCACCCTGAGCTGTGCTGTCTTTTAATGCTAATATACTAAAATGAGAAAGTTAACTTAGACCCTGTCAAGTATAGATTTTTGCCGGCTGATGCCAGAATCAATATTCAATATTATCACATATTATAAAATAGATTTCGTGATTATTCCTGCGATGTTTTTTATCAAACCCGAAATGTTATCGAGGCTTCATATTTAACAGTTTGACCATAAAATGATTTATAAATATCTAGAAACAAATAAAACACAAATACTAACAAATATATAGAACTTTTATCAAAAGAGATGTTTGTTTATTCTGTAAAATAAAAGTTTTTTATATCGGCAAATAGACTTAAATACAGATGTGTGTGAAAAGCTACAATCGATTATTAATCCACCAAATTATGAGCCAACAACCTATTCGCCAATAAATGAGTCAGAGTTAGCATCGTCATAGTGTGCTGATATTAGCATTTAGCTCAAAGTGATCTCCTCTCTCCTCTGGTGATGGTGGAATATTCAGATCTGTTGTCTGTATTGCTAAAGGCTTTACTAGCGAAGACAACTCTAGTGCAACCCTAGCTCGTAGCAAAGCGAGTTACACATGTCTGCATAACAAGACTACAGATATATAAAGGGCTGCTCAGCTGATGAATCTGCTTTTTATCTTTTCTTTTTCCTCATAAAATGCTGAAAAACTTCAAGAGGACCGAACATCTCCTCTCCTGTCGTGTCCTAGAGGATCCTCCTTTTTTTCAAAACCCATCTCCTCTAATCCAACACGCTTTCCTTTCTCCTCCCTGCGACTCTCAGATCTCTCGCTTATTTATTAAGAGCAAACTTTGAATCGTCTAATCCTAAATGCTTTATCCCCTGAAGCAGTGAGAAAATAAATCAGCGTGTTTTCCAGCGGCACAGATACCTGCTGGGCTCTGCAGCCTCCTGCGGACTTACAGCAGCATGTGGGCTCACAATGGCCCCAAGTGACAACCAAGGTTAATCCTATATGTCGCCATTATGCGGGGTCAAGCTCTCTCGCCATATATTTAGTGTGTCATTAATTTCCAACCTGCTACTGCTGCGGCAAGAGCAAGCTGCCGCTGCTCAGGTCTCCCCGCACGCTCACACTCACACACACACACGTATGCAGATGGATACACACACACATGCACACACACAATGACTCGCTACATTAGCTAAATGGCTAGAGCTCCGTCTCTCTTTTCCTCTCTCTAATGAGACGGGTCTCTGGATCGTGTAGTCTATTCATCATTCTGCTTGTTCCAATCTACCTCTTCTTTTGTCAGGGTTCGGTCGCAGGGCCGAAGTCGTCAGAGGCGACATAAATCACCTGTCAGCATTGGTCCCTGGGCTCCCATAATGCTCTATTAACGGGGTCCACCGCCGTTATTGACAAAGCAGCCGACAGGTATTACAGCCACTGTGGTCAGGGTCGTTCCTGTTCATGTGGTTTATAGAGTGTGGTTATTGTTCATTATTTTGTTGCACTCGAACGTGATACTACATCACAAAAGGCTTCCTGCATGTTTAATGTGGCTGCATATGGAGCAAATACACAATTTGAACACAACGGTAACTCTGCTGAGGCATTATTTGGTCAGTTGGTGTAAAAAACATAAAAAGAGATTGACTGAGGTGGAAACATTTCGTTCGGTTATTCATTCAGTCTGTAATGATTAGTATTAGGGACGTACTGAAGAAAAACATTTCTGATCTTGTGATTGTCCTCTAAAGTGACACATAGCCTAGAATTACAACTTTATTCTAGTAATGTCACTTTAGTCGACTCATAAAATCATGACTTTATTCTCAAAATCGAATAATTGGCACCAACAGCCATTTGAAACTGTTTTGATCTCAGTAAAATAAAAATAAAATCAACAAGGTAATTGTATGTGCCTGCTGATTTACAACAAAGAGGCTTAAAAGAAATAAAACTCAAATGCCTTTTTTTTTTTCAAGGTGGTTTTCAACCAGGGAGATTCTACATTGAATAAGAAATTCAAAGTAACTTAACTGAACAGAAAACAATAAAATGTAATAAAGCAACTTTGGCTCATGATCGTAACTGATTTAACGTCCAGCAGAAACCAGCTGAGCTTTAGGTCTCCCTTCAAATAACCCCTTTATAAACCCTGCAGTGCACTTCAGGCGTGGCTGGTTCATTACGTTTCAGATGTCAGGGGGCTTCTCTGTGTATTTCAGTCACTGTACTGAAAGCGTCTCTGGAGAGAGAAGAAGGACTTTAACCTCCTCCGAACCCTGAGAAACTTAAAAATAAGTAAAAGGAAGATGCCTTCGCTATCTCTCTCCACGAGGAACTCGACCTCGCAGCCCCCACATCTGCAGCCAGTCCCTCAGGTCTGATCAGAAAAGACAGGATATGACCTCATCTGTGACCGTGTGACCCGAGGAAGTGCTTCAAAAGAAAATGAGGGTCAACCTCGGGGAGACTTGCACGAAAGACGAGGTTACAGTTTGACCTCGTATGAAACCCGCGCTCGGATTTTGTTTTTGTTTTATGACGAACATGTGTCAAGTAAATGAATAAGTGCTGTCTTTGTTTATTCCCTGCAGCTGGAGGGGGACGTGCTGGATCCAGATTCTCTAAACCTGAAGAAGCGGATCAGTTTTATGGACTCGACTGAGAAACAAAGGTATGTTTTCTTCTAGATTTATTCCCGTGATGTATTTTTTTCTGGTCGTGTGGACAAACAGGAATATTGAGATTTACCTCACACCACCTGCCACTCTGTGGGGCTTTCTTCATGCGTAGTTACCCCCCCATCAGCCTCCCACACCCGACACTGTTTGTCTGGTCACGCATGGTCGTGTACATGTGTGTGTTTGTGTGCTGCGCCGCTGCAGACCATGCAGGACAAAGGAGGGGCCACCAGGGAGGGAACGGAGGTATCTGTGAAGACCGAAAGACGGACATGAGGAACAAAAACAGAGGAAGGGGAGAAAGGGGGGAGAGAGGAGAGGCTTTTACCCATCATTCTCTGGTCGGCAGCCAAGAGCATGGACCAGTCTGACAGGAACACACAGTCTGTACACCTGTTCGAACCAGCTGGCCGTCACTACCTGTCCCAGAAGCAGCTTCGCCCTCAGACACACCCACAACACTCACCCCACAAAGGGGGTGAGTCGGCAGTGGGTGGGTGCATGAGAGAGTGTGAGGGATGGAAAGGAGGCAGGGTGATGGTGCAGGAGTGCTCTTGAGCAACAAAAAGACAGTGTGCCTGAGGTTCATTGTTTACATTTGATCCAGTTAGTTTAATCATAATTAATAGAAGACACTAAAGACTTTTAGTTTTGTCCTTCAGATCTGAAGAGACTGTAACGTCCCTTAAATCAACACGTGATGACTCAGACTCTTTTTTCACCATTTGAGATTTGACTCACTCTTCTGCAGCAGCCTGACTGAAGCTGGTTTCATAACAGTAATAGCAGGAAATGCACAATGATTCTCTCAAATTTTCGTGAAATTCGTTAGAAATTTTCAGGCGAACCCAACTAACGTTTCACAGCTGCACAGCAGAGGAGAGAGAGTGTTGTGCTTGGCCGGGCAGAGTCGTCAGACATGCTCAGAGGCTACAGACAATAGAGAAAATGAATAAATTCAGTAAAGGAAGAAGCTAAAGGCAAACAGGAACGAGAGAAAAAAGGAGGAAATTTCCAAATGAATGAATGAACAGATGACCCCCCCCCATCCCCTGGGCGCCACAGATGTGCGTGTGTGCCGGGTGATAAACGGCAGGCCAATTGAAGCGACACGACAGCGGCCATATTAAAAGGCCTAAATGGCATTTGCATGGTGTAATTACCGGTGGCTGGTCTGCTCTTTGTGTCCGCAGCCACCAGGGTCCTGTAGAGAAATTGTCCCTGAATGGGCGCCAGCGAAATGAGGTGCGGCGGGGTCAGAGCGGCGGCATGTTCGCAGCTGACTGGTGGCTCAGAAAAAGCCACCAGTGAATGGGCACGGCGTGTTTTTGTGTGCACCCACCATGCTTTTCTTAAAAGCTGCCACACCAGCCTCTCGGCATGTGTGACCGGGCTGTTGAAGGTGGCACCTGCCTCCCTCTCATGTATTAAATTCCTCTCGGGGATAATAATGTTCTCGACATGGAAGATCACATTCAGCAGACATGACACCCTGACACCAGCCGCCACGGCCTGCAAATGTAAATCTCACCAGATTAGATGTCTGTAAGCAGCTTGTGTGTGTGTGTGTGTGTGTGTGTGTGTGTGTGTGTGTGTGTGTGTAGGTGTTAGAGACTGATAGATGGATCGAGACGTTGGAAACGGGTGTTTTTATATTTATGTGTGCGCCTCCTTCTCAGATCTCATCCACAGAAATAGACTCTAAAGAGATCTCACTCCGTCCCATCCTGCAGCGAAACAAAAACCTCTGCTTGACGTTTTTATGGATGTTACCTATTTAGCAACCTTGTGCAGTTGAAGACGGGATTTTGTGTCAGATGGGGTGAAAATGATCCCGATACCGGACTCCCCCTGATATCTGGATCCCTCTTACACATGATAAATTGACTTTTAGCGAAGAGAAGTAAGTAATCTTGTAAATAAAACCCTGTTTTACATCGATGATTAATTATAACACCTCAAGTCTTCAAGATTTTGAAATGAAATGAAAGGCATCTCTCGATGGAAGATTTAAGGTATTTCCTTTTGATGAATCTGTCTTTGCTGTCGTTCACAGACATATTGGCATCAGCGTTTATTTTTGCTGATATGTGCCAATGTGAGAGTTTTGAAAGATTTGCATTTCTGTTTATATTTTACATAAAAATATTCAACTACTATGCAACTATTGATAATAATAAAAAAAAATTAAAGATAGGTCACACTAAGAAACGTTTGGTTAGATGTGCTCAGATCACCCCAGCAGCGACGTGTCGTGTCATATAATGACTATTATAGAAAACATACAGACCCACAGGTGAATCTCACAGTTACATTTCTCCGATTCTTCAATATCAGATCTGTCAACGTAAAAATGGCTTAATGACAAACTGCTTCCAACCTAAATTAGTTTTTTAAGGCTCAATGTAAACACGTCTGCTGTTACCTCAGATCACACCTGATACAAACCCGCCATCGTACTCCGTCTAAATGTGTCTGAGGATTAGGCCGAGCAGGTGACAGTATTGATCAGTGATGCATAATATCTTATTTTCTCTCGTACTCACTATCTGACGACATGTGTCTCAGTGTCTGTTACATTGACGTCTGTCTCGTACATGTCTTTTTTTTACTCAAATGTATTTTAAACTGTAGATTTCACTGTCGTTTGGATCTTATATATTTTCCTCAGTCTTGGGTGTAAAGCACAATGCTGGGAACTGTGTAGTATACCCGAAATAAATGTTGATAATTGGGCGGAATTGGTTGATTTTTTATCTACAAGCACATCTTTGCTCTAATTACTTAAAAAATGAGTTTAGTTTTTGTCTTTCAGCTCATTTTATTTCTAAATTTGAGTACCGACGCAGGGGCGTGTTTTGAAGTCAGTATTTTGAACTCAGTCAGTGACTGACAAGTGATTTTTCTGCAGTTAACCCCACCCGCCTGGCACAGCCAGCAAGGTTAACCAAACACAACAATTTCAGCTTGTGCTTCAAATCGCTGTTTTTTTAATGTGCATGTGTCTGTGTACGACTGCATGTGCAGGCTAATGTGGATGTGCACTAGTGACTTTGTGTGTTGCAGAATAGCCCAGTGTGTGCATATATGCATGCTCCTGAGTGTGTCTCTACTTGAGAGTGCGCACTGAGTGTGTGTGTGTGCGTGTGTGTGTGTGTGTGCAGCTACAGTGTGTCAGCATCGCCGCTCCATCTCCCAGGGCGTCTCCTGGAAGCTGACAACTGGATAATAGCTTTTTACTTTTCCAGAGCAGGGCTCCGGAGAGAACTAATATGATTATAAATCATTATTCAAATAGAAAGGTGAGGCGCGGTGCTCAGGATAGTAAGAGAGCATGATAATAGCATCATTACCTTTTTTTATTTATTTATAATTCAGATTTTTTCTTTTTGCAAGCGTGGCAACTCAACCTAATGCAGGACTACAGGGGATTTCTCTCTGTGTTATGAGGAGGTGTGCATGCATCACACCATCCTGGAGGACAGGAGAGGTGAAGATGAAGTGATTGTAACAGGGGATGAAGGCGCTTCGTTTAATAAAATGAAAAATGTTTACATGTCAATTTTTGCTTAGATGTTTAGTTGCGAAGGAAAAACATCCAAACAGATTAGCGTGCGGCTCGGGATGTAATTTTCTGTCCTATCCCGAAAGAAAATTAGCTGAGCCCGAGCCAAACCTGACAGGCATTCTGTTTTTCTGTCCCAAACCAGCCTGAGACCAATGTTTTCCCCGATCGCACAGCGTAAAAAATCAAGTAGGTAGCCCAGCCAACACTGTTTCCCATTGATTATCTACAGTGTGACCGTCATATTTAACTAACCCAAACCTGCCACAGTTTCATGGTGAAACTAATTTGTTTTTCAACTTCTCATAATAACTTCAGAGATCTCTAACTTGTGGTGTGTGCAGTGCAGTTTGCTGCGTACTCATTTGTGCTACCGCGTGCTTGTGCTGTGGTCGACAACATTTTTACCGTCCACGCAGACGGTCAGATCTTAAAGTTTCATTTGCAGTTGTGGCATTGATGCAGTTCTCACTGAGAACTTAATGAATGAATTTTGTAGGAAATTATTCAACGTGACCTGACCCATCTCTACATCCCAGTTTGGGTCGGGTAACCTCACTCTACAGGTTTACGTTCCTTAAACGTCTTCTCCTTTTATTTATTATTGCATTTTCCTAATGTTTAGAAACTTGAAAGTGACCAGCTACAAAAGAATGATCAAAATCTCCTTTTTTAAATCAAAATGTCTTGTATTTATAGCGTAAAATGCACAATAGGATAATGGAAGGAGGGCAGGATTTTGTGTTTGGTATTGAAAGTCCTGTTAGCTGTTAGCGTGCAAGGCAGAGTGCTTTTGTTCTCTAAAAGCGATGCCTCCTTAGATTCATCTGTGATCGCTTGAAGTTGGCTGACCTGGAAAGCTGAACTGTGTTGTGTATTGAAGTCAGACTTCGATTCCACTTTGAGTCGTCATCCATGTCACAGTCAGTTTTTTGTTCTGACTGCAGTTTCAGGGACTTATCTGATGCTCTTATCCGCACAAAAGATTCAGGGCGCTTTCAGCAGCGGGGGGGGAACTTTCTGCGACTTAACTAAATGCTTTGTTATTCCGCCGCTGCTCAGGTACGAGCTCCTGATGAGCAGGCAGTGCATCAGATGTCACTAAAATTCAGATGATGTAGCAGCCGATTAGTCACAACGCCGCGGCTTTGTGTGGCGTGCGACAGCGAGAGAGGACGGAGCAAATCTGTCTTTGTCAGAGCAGAAAGAGGCTGCTTGCTTCGGAGTTAGCGATTCCCTCGCTGACAATTCCACACAATGTAAATCCGAGGGAAAAGTGAAGTGACTGAAACAATGTCATCAGCTGAAGATAAGGCTGCCGTGAAATACCCCGAGAGTAAAGAGGTTCAGACTTGAGGGCTGATTGAGGATCCGTTTTGCCTTTGAGGTTATGTCAGCTCTTCCCGTCCAAAAAGATAAAAATCATGC